AATGGGGCCTTGTTCCCTCCTCAGGCACCTGAGCCTCTCAGCTCTCTGAAGGCGATGGCGGAGAGAGCAGCGCTGGGATCAGGCCTGGATGGCGAGATTTCCAACCTGCATATAACGGATAGAGGTCGAAACGGTCAGACCTTTTTTTTACCTTTTTTCAGCTCTTTATGATGAATAAGCAGATCACGCTTTTATGCTGCTTCCTGTTTGTTTTTGTTTTTTTAAATAATAGTACAGTAAAACATTCTTACACACTGCTCATGGTAACATAAAGAGTTAAGCCTAAAGTGTAAAAAAACAATGTATTTTTTTTTACAAATTAATTTATTATGTCTTTTATGAAAATAACAAACAGTAGCTTGTTGCTGCCAGCTGTTTTTGTGAGGCAGGGGTTTTTTATGTGTGACATATTTAAGACATTTCCCTTTGTTCTGGTAACATTTAGTTTTCCTTTTAATGCCAGATTGTTACTGCTTCGTGAACATAATTATGAGTTTTGCTGCCAAAGTGTAGGAAGGAAAGTTCCTGTTTTGCTCCTTTCCAGCTCGGGATTTTTATGCTTCGATTCACAGAGGAGGCAGCCAGAATTAGAAAAAAAAATCAGAGTTTAGAGCAGTCTGGAGCTGGAGTTATTGGCACATAGGGATTGCTTATCTTAAAACACACACACACACACACACATTTTCGTTCATTTGTTATCCAGTCTAGAGTGTCGGGGGGGTGGAGCCTATCCCCAGGGTCAACTGACCAACATTCATGCTCGCACTCACAGTCATGGCCAATCAAAAATCACCCGCTAACATAACATGCAAGTCTGTGGACTGTGGGAAGAAGCCAGAGTACCTGAAAAGAGAGTGTAGAAAGGTCCAAACTTCAGGTCAAGGCCTTTTTTGATTCAAGCTAGAACCATGAGGCTAGATTGTGTCTGTAATTAGTTTACTGTTGGAATGTTCTTACTCTTATAAAAACAGAGTTAGTACAACTAAAGGAATAACCTTAAAACTTTACCTTCAGTTGCTCGCCCTGTCATCAAGAGTCACATCTAACTATACCCCACACAGATGATGGGAAGTGAGGCGGTGATATGGCTTCTTGTGTAATTGAAGATAGCCTTTGCTTTTTCTGCATCCTGCAGATATCTTCTCTGGTTCATCTGCAGCACCTGGCACACCTGCCGCGCCTCAGCCGTCCGTGACAGAGGTCAACATCCCCCCATCGCTCGGTGTTTGTCCGCTGGGTCCAACCCCTCTCCCCAAAGACCAGCTCTACCAGCAGGCGATGCAGGAGTCGGCATGGACGCACATGCCCCACCCCTCTGACTCTGAGAGGATCAGGTGAGCCCATCACAATTTCCTTTAGCGTCATGGGGGGGTAAAAAAGAAGATGCACTTTTTTTTTCACAGTAATTTTGCAAATTTACTTTGATTATATGAAACATTTGCATTGTATATGCATATTGCTCTGCTAAAAAAAAAACATGTAGGACAGCTTAAAATGTGTCATAAAACCGGATTTCTTTTTCTTTTTTTTCTTTTTTTTAAGCAAATTTGTTCTTAATCACTAGTTTTATTAAATTAAGAAATAATATAGTCCCCATTAGTCTCCAGAAGGGCAATAAATAAGTTTGTGCTTTAGGGCAAGCATACCTTATGTTTAAGTCACTATCATATAAATGTGCAGTGTTCTGCAGTTTCAAAAAATACTGTGCAAAGGTTTTAGGCAGGTGAGAAAACATGCTGTAAACAAAGAATGCTTTCAAAAATGGAAGTGTTAGTCATTTATTTTCATCAATCAACAAAATGCAGTGAATGAACAAAAGAGAAATCAAATCAATATTTGGTGTGACCACCCTTTGACTTCAAAACAGAATCAATTCTTGTAGGGTTTTTTTTTTTTGAAGGAACTTGGCTTGTACGTTGTTTCAAACATCTTGGAGAACTTGATGTAGGCTTTCTCACATCCTTCTGTCTCTTCATGTAATCCCAGACGCATTCGATAATGTTGAGATCAGGGCTCTGTGGGGGCCATACCATCACTCCCAGTACTTCTTGTTCTTCTTTACGCTGAAGATAGTTCTTAATGACTTTGGCTGTATGTTGGGGTCATCCTGCTGCAGAATAAATTTGGGGCCAATAAACGATCATTTATATTTCTGAAAGCATTTTTTCACACCTGCTTAAAACTTTTGTACAGTACTGTATATCCGTGGTTGCACAAATTTTGGGGAAAAGAGCCCTTTGCGTTGCTCTGTGGCTTAAAAGTAAACACTTTTCTGGTGACTTCATGGGCTCAGTTGCTAGTTTTTGGTTGTAATGAATAATTTATGTAGTTAATTTCTTAAATTTTTACTATTATTAGAGTCAGAAAGGAGAATTTATCCAGGGAATGCTCATTCAGTAATAAAAGGTCACACACCTGCTCGGCATGACCAGTTTCAGGGAGCAACTGGAGGCTTCGCAACGGAACCTCAATAAGCAAAAAGATGAACCTGTTGTACCTTAAAGTGTTTTTGACATCTGTTGACACTAATAGAAAGTTCTGAATATTCACGTGTGGTTTTGGGTAGTAGTGTGGATGGAGTACTTTGTTAGAACAGAAATGATCAGTGGCTTTGATCAGTGGCATTCATTAAAGAGTTTTCTGTTTCTGTCTTAAAGGCAATACCTGATGAGGAATCCATGTCCCACCTTGCCCTTCCATCATCAGGTCCCACCTCATCACTCTGACTCCATAGAGTTCTACCAGAGACTGTCCACAGAAACTCTCTTCTTCATCTTCTATTACCTGGAGGTAAACACTCTCCATGTAAACTCACACGAATCGGTTTGATTGTTTGAGTTTGTAAACTTGGAGCTTTTTCCTATGATTTGGTTCCTTTTCACACAAAAAACTCAAAGAAACCTCAGCGCGAACCAAAATGCATCGCAACAAACCATGTGAAAACTTTTAGTCCGCTTATTGGTTAGATGTGGGACGGGAGCAGAATGATTTGCTACATAAGGTGGAAAATTTACAATAATTTTACAGCTATAGTTGGTTGCCCGTACTGACCGTTTTTGTGATCTGGACATCTATGGTGCACTGCCGCATCGCACAAAAAGTGCACGTGGCTAATGAGAAGGACAGAGTTGAATTAAACGGACTAAACACCCTGAATGTCTTTTTTCTGTGATCTGTTAAAGTTTGTGAGCATAATGGTTTTATTGACTTCTCTCTCAGGGTACCAAGGCTCAGTATCTGTCTGCCAAGGCTCTGAAGAAACAGTCCTGGAGGTTTCACACCAAGTACATGATGTGGTTCCAGAGGCACGAGGAGCCCAAGACCATCACCGATGAGTTTGAACAGGTGCGGGTTCATCTCCGCACACCGATTTATGGTCATTGTGGTGTTGATTTGTTAAGGTTTTTTTTTATTCTTACCACTCTGCTGTTCCCTTAGGGCACTTACATTTACTTTGACTACGAGAAATGGGGCCAGAGAAAGAAGGAGGGGTTCACCTTCGAGTACAGGTACCTGGAAGACCGAGACCTGCAGTGACGGACGGACGGAGGGACACAAAAGGACAGAAAAGACAAAATGTGCTGCTGTTGACATTCCGAGACTGAACTCCAAACTGTGGATAGAGATTGTGATGTGTAGTAGAAACCCTCTCCTGAGATTGGAGACTGGTGTCTGTATAGGCTGCATCTCAAATGTGAAGCCCTTGCTCCTCATGTAGTGCTTTGCTTTTGACCAAAGAAAATGCCCCGTGGGTCTGATCAAATGCATCGCGCTGCACAAGCTGGGAGGGTTCTCGTTGGAGATCTGCGTTTGTGCCTGTCTGTGTGCACACTCAGTATGTGGCATTAGGAAAGCCTACCCCATGCATGTTTCTCATGTTTAGTTGTCTTTTTTTTTTTTCCCGTTTCAACACGATTCTCTGTACCACCTACCCGACATCAGCCTGGAAGCCTTTTGACTTGACACAAAACAGACTTTTGGATTTGATTAAGTAAACTGCCCATCTCGTATTTACTGTAATTTGGTGGTTTAGAATGGGGACGTACAGTGGACATTTAGTCATGGTGTGTAGGAATGGCTTCTTTTAAGATCCTACAATGCCTGTTAAATATGGTCACTATTGAAGATAGTGAGCGGTTATCAATAGTTTTATTGATATTGTCTTGGTCGATTTAAAACGCTGATTGAGAGTGACCACAGGGCCTCTCCCTGTGACAGGGAAAGAGTCCTTATTGGACATGGATTAAATTGCTATGCAATTGAACTGGTCTCTGACTCCCTCTCTTTACAAATAAAATGTTTTTAAGTTAACGTGTCAAGGAAAATGCATTATTATTGCGCCTTCATGTTTGTGACAAATTAATAAACTTGTAAACAACTCTTAAAGATAGGATTTGAGACATTAATCTACTTGATGTTTAATTTTCCCTCAGTGTGAAAAGGCCATGTTGAGCAGAGGGAAATGTACCTACACCCAGGTCACCTCTTATTTCCTCAAAAGTACACACAGCATTAGATAATAAATCTGGGTTTGGTTGGGTCAACTTCCCAGCTTTAGCCAAGGTTTTATTCTGTTGTTACTTTATCCCAGACTTCACTGAGTTCAGTTTACCACCTGATATTTCGGTGAAAGCCCTATACAGTGAATGTGCACTGACTAAACTGTTTACATGTAGAGTTTAAACAGAAATCCTAAAATTCAGGTGGTAAATTTAACTCGTGGGTTCAGTAGAAAGTGTCTCGTCTGCCGTGGTTGTTCCATTGTGTTAGCCCGAAGAACAGTAAGATTTAATCTGGGATGGGACGCATCCTACCTTTTCCTGGCAGTTTGAATGAGGGAGAGTGTTAAAACCGAATCAGTTTTCCATTTAAGCAACCATGAAGAGTTCTGTACCACAGGTTATGTTGTGTGTGATTCGTTTTCAGGCTTTTTTTTGTGGGAGGGAAAAGAGGGGGATGAGGATGTGGGAGGGAAAAAAAACAAGGAAAATGCAGCAAAGTTCTGAGAGATTTGCCTTTTATAGATTCTATTTTTTGGGCTTTTAAGGTTTACAGAAAGGTCAGTGAAACTGCTAAAATGTGAATTTCAACACATATTTACAATTTTTCTCATCACAGTTCTGCATGGGAGATGTCATAAATGGGGTTATAACAGGATTGTAAAATTTCAATAAATACTTTTAAGAAATTATCCATCAGTGTGTGGCGTAAAGTCCTGTCATTCCTACATGGAATATGGATCCACATATTTTCCATCACCTTTAATTTGTTTTGTTTTTTGGTGTCCCCAGAAATACCAGATGACATAAGAAAAATAATATTAAGATCTGCTGCGTTTAGCTTCAGTTACAGTAAGCACACCTGACATGCACTTGCCCATCAAAGTAACTACACATTACTTGCAGATTTAAATAACTGTCATAGTGCTGTTTGGTAGCTACACAAAGCAAAAACCTAAATTACCTGTAAAATGATGCAACCTTGTTGCATCTGCTTTCCTCACAAAGCAAAGCCTGTTCTGTTGCTGACCGTGTCCCTTTATGACACAGCGATGGGTACACTGTGGTCATAGCAACTTAACCTGCTTCCAGTAGGTTACGATGACATTTGACAAAGCTCAAATGATCTTCACAGTTGCCTTTGAAATGTGGTGAAACATGAGATTTAGATCATTAGCTGATAACTACAGCACCTGTGTGATCGTTTCCATCACCTTGTTGAATCAGATCCATAAAAATGTAAACTAGTTCTGATGACAAAGAGTCCAACCCAGTACTAGCAAGTTCCTAATAAAGTGACCGTGGGGATTTTATCTTATTCGTAGCAGTTTTACTTTCAGTAAAAATAAACTCTGTATTAACTCAAAATTCAACATAATTAGTTCAGTTTCACTCGAAATAGAAGATCAAAACAAACAGGTATAAATTCAAATGTCACAGAGGAGGCTCCTGTTTTTTGTTTTTAGAAAAAACACATACCTACAAAGTGAACTCTATATTTTATTTAGATGGGGAAAAAAACCTCAAGTCGAAACAAGTTTCAAAAAATAAAAAAATAACACGAGGTGAGCCAAATTTTAAAATATACTTTCACAACTGTGCAACTGTCCATGTGCAGGGCGTCCGTATGTCTTCACATCTTAGCTTCCTTCTTGACTTTGAGGAACTCTGCCATGTTAGAGAAATATTTCTGGTTAGCTTCAGCCACCTTCTTCTCTGCAGCCTGCGGGTTCACAATCTCCAGCCCCTGCAGAAGGAAACAATAACAGATTTAAAAACAAACAAATAAACAAACAAAAAAAACAAAACCCCAAACTCTCGGCAGGTCTTTACTTAATGAGTCGCTTCTTTTTACCTGGAGAGGTGTGAATGCTACGCTGGAGCTGGTTCCTGAAGAACGATCTCTGACTGTGGACTTTCCTCCATATGTCATGCTCTGCCTCTGCAACGTCCTCTGTGGACAAAAGCCAAAATGTTAGAGATGATGTAGATACAAACACCAGCAGGAGAGAAGAGCGCATTTACCTGGAGGGATTTGGAGATCCTGGCTTTGGTGGCCTCGTTGACCTGAGCCTGCCTGACTCTGCCACTGCCGCTCTTCCCCAGCTGACCCAGACTGAAGCCCAGATCCTCCTGATACGCATCATCTTCAATCTGCAACACAACACAGGAAAAACAATTAACTGGAGCAGGATCACCTTGTAATATAATTAACCATTGACATATCAATGAAGTCCATGCCTGGATTACAGAACACTCCCCAACAGGGGTTAATATAACAATGAACCAATTTAATTTGCTTTACTGTAAGAGTTTTCTCTTTTTAAAGGACTGGATTTCATACTTGTTAGGACCGTTTTTAAACAGTGGTTTAAGGTAACAAAGACACATTCATAACAGCCAAGTCTCCATCCACAGAGATCAATAAGCAGCTCAGAAACTGCACATTTATTAACAGACCAGAGTAGAAACTGTTTGTACTGCAGTAAAGTCATCTTGCTGAAGCTCCTTCACAGTGTTGGGGGAAGTCTCGGTGAGTACAAAATATAATAAAAATAGCTCGTCTTGTTGGGTGCTTGAAAAGAAAGGAACTGGACCTCCTTAAGTTTGTGAAGATGTTCTCATCCAAGAGACTTCTTCAGCTCTAAAACAGAACAGCTGACAGAGTCTCAGGTTTTTATGGTGGCTTCTATTTGAGTTGGAATTTTCAACAGGAATACCCCCTTCTCGTCGGACATCCAACTCAGAAATTCAGAGCAGCCCCACCAGTCACAAATGCACAATCCAAGATGGCAGCAGTGGATGTAAACAGTCATAAAACATGTAACCTGTACAGCCACAGTTGTGTACATCGTGTCATCTGTTTGTTGTTTGGTTTCTCCTATGAAGTACAGCGACCTTCTTTTCAAGCACTCGGGACTACCATGACCTGGATAACTGAGAACCTACGCAAACACCTCATCCTGTTACACTGGCTCTGCTGCACAAAGCTGGTGCGAGCCAAAAGTGAGGCTGCTTTGAGTCGTCATTCATCCCAGGTCTGAAATTACTAAAAGCTTTCAGTTGCTTCCTTATTCATTAGGGATCGCCCATAGCAGCAGTCTCCTCCTTTGCTTATTAGGCAAATGTGTAAACCCCTACATTACTACTAACCAGAGGAAGAGAAGAGATTCCTCCTGCATGTCTTCATATTTAGCACAGGTCTATATTACTATATTATTATTTTTTGTGTTAATGTGGGAATAAAGAAAAATATATCATTGCTAAACATGGCTTGCATCATGAGCATTTTATTAAAACCTCTATTAAAGGTTTGGCTGTAGTGATTTTATATACACATTACAATTTGTGCCTATAAAAGAGTTGATGCTCAGTCAATTTAAGGTCGTAAGCTTCGTCTGGCGTGATGGTCCCGGCGATACATTGTGCAAGTGACTTTGAGCAGTAGAAGGTTAATGCATACACGCTTACAAACACAAATAATTATAAAAGATTTTAATATGTCAGGGCTGAACCCTGACATATTAAAACCATTTTGAATTGAGCTTTTGGGCGAAGATCTATGCTGATTGTGTCACAGTATAAATCTTCCCACGTGTGTGTTCAATAAAATCATTGTTTGACTGAACTCTTCTGGGCCAGTGTTTGTTTGTTCTCATCCTCAATATTTGGAATTCGGGACATTAACTACTTTGTACGGTTTTCCTTCATTAAGAGCATCTTCTTTGAATAAAAGAAAAGAATGCTAAATGAATTATGGATCATAGTCAGACATCAATAATGAAACATGAAATATCACTGGATTAAAAACAAATCTTAAAAACAGGAGCAGAGAAAATATGTACTGACCTCTGCAAAGGTCATCCTGTTGGCATGTTTTCTGATCTCAGTCAGCCCGAGACGCTCTTTCATCTTTCGGTACCTGCAGGAAAAGAGCAGCGGAGCTTGGTTATGCCATTCACTGGATATTTTTAGTCGTTGGTGGTAGTCTAAACTTGGCTATGAAAGTTACGTAAGCTTCTTGCAGTCTTCCAGGATGCTGATCTGTGTCATGCCTTGTTCTGTTTCTGCTGATTTTTTTTTTACTTTTTCAAATAAATGTTAGATCAGTTTAATCTCAGTAAACTTCTCCCTCTTAAAAGATTCCAATAATCATCAATTTCCATCTCCAGACTGCAATCCTCTTTAGCAGTCTATTCTGGCAGGCCTGTTTCAGGTAGCTGACAGATTGTTTACCTCCTTCCTCCTCTCTTCTTCCTCTGTCCATCCAGCGGGGCTGGCAGTGGTTTGACTTGCTTCACGGGTGGAGGCTCCTGCCATTTATCAAACTTCCTTTCTATTTCTTCTTTTAGATCATAGCCAACCTGCAAACAGTGACAAATATTTTTAAGCCAAATGAAACAAAAATCAACTTGATTATTTCCTCAGTTGCAAATAATTTTGCATGTAAATATGAAAAATCCAACCAAATATACATCAACAGACAAGAGAAATCATAATCTCTGTATCTGCTGGTACATTTATTCTTGCTCTAATACACAAGGCATTTATAAGACTTAGGTGTTCCTTTAAGAGACTCACCTTGCCATCTGAACTCTCGTGGAAACTGTCCACTCTTGCGGCCAGAGTGCATTTTGAAGCCACCAGACGAGCTGCCTTCCTCCTGAGATCCTGAAGGAGGACAGGACACTGTTAACCGTCACGCTGAACAGAATGCATTCATGCAGTTTGTGCTCATATATTCACTGACAGGTGGCAATGACTGCACAACATCGCAGTGATAGATGAAGCCGGTGTGAGGGAGCAGAGAGGTGCTGCTGAAGCCAGAGAGGGTTCTCCTCTGCGCTCCCAGCAGCATCAAGTTACAGGCTGGCATCTTTGACAGGTTAGTGAGGCCTCCGGCGATACCTGCATCCACAGGAGAGACCGGACAGTCACCGAAACAATCCTCAGTGAAGATTATGTACATTTGTAAACACTGTGCAGTCAGTAGATTTCTCTCACCCATGATCTTTGCAGCTGTTGATGCTCCAACAATGATGGACAGGTTTGGTGCAATGAATGACATTCTGGATTCTACATATTCATAAATCCTGTGTTTAGACTGGTTCAGCTCCAGGGCCATGTCGCACGCCTCCTCCAGCTGCTTCAGTTCATCCTCACTCAGCAACGACCTGAAGGCACAAGTGGCACAGTCGCCGTTCAGTTACAGTAATAACCAAAAATACATAACAACACAAACTCTTTCCTCCTTGAAGCTCTATCGATAACCCTTGTTTCTCTTGTCAACTTCGACAGGACTAGGTGTGCATCAGAAATCAGTGAGGGTGATCTCTGTTATAACACAGGTTATAGCAATCACACAAATTCATTATTCTTATAGCTTGAAACACTGAAATTTACAGACCTAGTGAAATTCAAAAGAGCAGAAATGTAGTTCAGAGCAAAAAAGGAAAGGTTACTTTGAAAACAGGAAGTATTCAAAGTAACTTTTTTTAAGACTGAAGGAAGTTTTAATTTTGCAACTGTTCAAATATAAATCACTTCAAAATGAGGTATAAAAGTTATGGCATTTATGAGACTCAAAGAAGAAGTCTGTTTAGTTTGTGTTTCAGACCTATTCAGATTTTACAATTAATATTCCAAAATTGAAAGTACTTGGCTTTTATCCAGTTGTAAAAATAAGATATGATGATAATAATTTTAATTTTATGTAGCACATATATTTTGTTATTAGAAATGTGTATTCTTATTACTGAGGTTTATATCAATAGGGAAGCTGGATAAATATAAACTGATAACTTATGGAGAAGGGGTAAGATTGTGCACTTCTTCCTACTTCTTCTCGATATGTAATAGTAAGAGTGATACTGAGTGTATTTACTTATTATTTAAAAATAATCTGTAAATGATTTTTATTTTAATAAAGAAAAAAATGAACGTCTTATTGATGCTTTGTAACTTAACTTAGTTTCCCCATCCCTTTCCTATGAGCTACTGTCACTGATTATTATAAAATAACTGCTTAACACTTTAGTTTTGAGATGCACTGATTACAATTTCCTTGGCCTATTCCAGTTTTCTTTAAGTGTGAAGAAAACTGGAATAAAACTGTGGTCAACACAGCAAGAAGGTTCTGGGTCCTTCATGCTGTCTGTGTGGGTTCTCTTTAGGCTTCCCCCCACAGTCCAAAAACATGCATTCATGGTTGTGATTTTAAATTGACCATAGGTAGGAATATTGGTGTGAACATGACCATGAATGTGAACAGTTGCCCATCTGTGTGTTAGCCCTGTGACCTGTGCTGGGTGTACCCTACCTCTCCTCATTAAGCTGGGATAGGCTCCAGCCCCCCAGCGTTAGCAACCCCATAGTTTTTCCTTTCCAGTAAGTGATTTAAGGTGATTCTAGAAGGAAGTGTTCACAGTGAACTACATGAAACTCTTCTGGTGAGACGGGGCCTTTAAATCTTATAAACTTACCCCTGTGTGGTTGAGGCTGTGACACTGACAACCATAATGGTGGCGTTGGTAAGGATTTGCTGCAGCGTCTCATTGTTTTTGCATTTCTCCAGATTGTTTCCCAGCTCCTAGATCAGACCACAAAAAAAAAAAAAAAAAAGAAAAATTAGGGGAGAAAACATCATGTTCAAACAAACTACAGGAAACAATGTTTTTTAACAGGTTTGCTTGCAGTTAAACAGAGAAATTTGAAAGCCAAATTTGAAAATTTTAACTGCAACATAATTTTCAATCTGTGCAGTTTTAAACTCTTTAATCATGTCAGTTTTGTTAAAAATAGAAATCCTAAATCTAACTAAAAAAACAGAAACAGTCAACTCAGAGCTGCTTCTTTTTTTGAATGAATACATAGTTTAGCTCACCTTGACAGTACGGATGTAATCCAAAGAATCCGGCACCAGAGACTCCAGCTCTGGAAACCTCTTGGAGTATTTGTCCCTGGTAAACTTGTGGATGATATCTGGAAACAGATCAAAAACACAGAGGACATCTCAGGTTATAAGGAAGAGAGCTAAATCTTAAAACATAGCATTATGGATCACCAGAGAGAAGAAGCCAACTCACTGAGCTCGTTGTCGATCTCCACTGTGAGGTTATTAGCTGCGACTATCAGTCTGTATTCTGGGTCGGCCTCGACTGGGCCTGAGACTAAAAGCAAACACAAAAAAAATAACAACAACTCCATGATGACTCTGGGTTACCATAAAGTTCAAATTAAATGTGTTTACAGAGTAAAACAGAGAAATGAATGGAAACTGATAGTGAGAAGAGCCTTAAATAATAATAACAACACTCACCCTCTGAGTTCTTACGCTGCTTCCCAATATATTCAGAAATTTTGTCCATTATCTCTGAAAACTGTAAAACACACAAGAGTCACTCTGGGAGGAACAGAGCAGACATTTTACTGCTAATCTCAACATGTGTAAAGCTCTTGTATGTTACAACTCACCTGTTTGCTATTGCGAAGCTTTGCAATAGACGCAACGCTCTCAGCTTTACTGTAGTCCACCTCCATCTCCTCTGGGATGTCTTCCAGCCCTCCGTCTGCACTTCCCTGGTTCGGCTCTCCATCACTGTCCCTCTCTTCTTCTGGGTACAGCCCATCCTCTCCCTCATCTCCGGCCTCCTCCAGATCAGCCAGGAGCTCATCTGCCAGAGACATCTGCAATCGATGGAAAAACTGTGAGGACAGGCAAAGCCAACTAGGATCAGTTTGCCACAGGGTACATGAGGTTGTCACTGAGTTTGGTGGGGTATATGTTCTTTATTTGCTGCTGTTGATGTAACTCTGAATTTATTTTTTTTATTAATGATCTGGTTACATAACTTGAGGATCCCATTTTGACTGTTTTCTAAGGACTTATAAAGCAATCACTGCAGACGCACGACCAGCAACTAAAACAATATTCTTATTCTTAAAGTCTTATAAAAAACACGTCTCTAATATCCCCTTCCTTAATAATATTATTTGAGCACTAGATACTTAATACTAGTTTTACTCATTTATCAAACAATACAAATACAAATCAAATACAAAAAGTGTGTCAACACAAAAACTTATGGACCTCACTGCGTTATCAAGCCTGAAAGAGAAATCCATCTGTAGACATATTTTTGTGTTTCTGACAAAGAAGCTCTTCTCAGACTCGTTTGAAATACTATCGAGTTCGTGTTCAGTTCCTCACACATCATCACCGCCTCATAGAAACTGCGAAGTATTAAGTCTGCTTGCATCTTTGGGTTTTCGCTGGCTGTGTTTGGAGTTAACCAATGTTAGCTAGCTAGCATTATCGAACGTTGGTCCGACGTTACTGAGCGATTTCTCAGTAACTTTGACATACCTCAGAGTTTCAGTCCTACTGGTTTAAGAAAAAAATTAAGACGTCCAATGCAGGTTTCAGTCGCTTTGAATAGAAATACAAAATGATTTGTCCCTCTGTTTTCTTGACTGTTTGCAATCCGGTTGTGCGGCGCAGATGTACCGCTGGTCGCAGATTAAATACGTACAATCGCAAAGCTTTCTGGGAAACTGTGTCAGTACACTTCACAATCACAGAGGGTGTTTTTTGTTTTTTTTTTGCCTTTTGCCACAGGTTTGATTATCTATCTATCTGTGAAATATATACAATACACACATAAACTCGGTGTACAGTACAGTGAAAATATGGATTAAGATATGTTTGAATGCTAAATACGATGGTCTAAGTTGATCTGAATGTATATGTGTAATTAGCAAATATAGGTACTGGTGAATACTAATGATGAGTTATATTTATTTATTACAATATGCTTTTGCGTGTAACTGCAAATGTAAAATTAACCACTTAAAGTTGTTTTTTTTTATGTTTTTCATAAGTATAATTGTAATTAACGTATCCTCACACACACCTACCTCCGCTTTTACAACCTAGGGATAATTTAGTGGAAGCTAGGAAAAAAATGTTAGCATATTGAGTTAGTCTCACAACAACACTAACCTTAATGTGGAGTTACTAAGTCAAAATTTCAAGATACCTAACCCTGATTTAAGGACATCAAAAATATACATAAATAAAATAAATAAAATAATAATAATGATAATCAGTAGCAGAAAAAAACTTCCATGTTTCCCAGCTTCACCTTTGCTGAGAGGTGACATTTTTATATTGTATCTACCTAGATTATGGAGTTGGGGGGTCATGGCTGTGCTGGCTGACATGTTTTCCCAGCACAGACAGTTGGAGCAATCCATCTAATTTTCACTAACTGTATCTGTGATGTCAGTGCCTTCTGAAGCATTGTTAATTGATTTATAATATATAACTTGCTCTTACGGCCCATACGTGTCTGAGAAAAATTTCTAGTATTTTAATAGTTTGTAACTTAGCCCTCATTGACAGGCATGCAACTTTTCTTGGTCATGAATGAAATAAAAGCAACAATCGAGCTTATTTATACGACACAGTTCAAATAAGAGGTTCACATTTCATAGTTTTTATTTCCCCCTTGTTTATACATTGCCCCCTGAAAACCATTCTTTAAACAATACAAGTTTAAACCAACATTTAAACAGACTAAACAAATTGACTAGTTGGATCTCGACTGCATGATGGACTGTTATTAGTAGAAAATGGAATAAATTAACAGATACACAAACAAATGGGAGTTATTTACTAATGAAAGGCTTCAATTTTTCATGCTAAGCTACATTAACTGTCAGTAATTAAGATAAAAGAATGACGAGACAGCTAAAAATTCATAGACATCGGAAAATAATGAAACATTACAGGACGTTGTTCCATACATATTGGCATATATTAACAAGTAAAATTATACAAAATACTTTTTTTTGTTTAGCAATTAAGACGTTTGGGAAAATATTTTGATTTATTTGTTATGAAGATCTTGGAGACGTTATAGACCTAGATGCATTTCTGTCCCAAACAAATTATAGCTAAGTTCATATATGCAATTGCACCAAAGCAAATAAATACATAACTTAATAGATTAAATAAATAAGATATTGCATGGAAACTGACTTTACATAAATAAGTAAAATAACATTGAAATAAATATAGAAATTAAAGCTTTTCAGAAATAAAAGTACAAATAAACTGCTTGTTTCATTTTTCGTGCAGTCTAAGAATACATCTAAAAGTAAACAGCTCTAAAATGATACTGTATACACTTGTATTATGATGTTTGTACAAATGCTGAGGAGTATTGTCAAATACAGGAGTCAAGCAATTTCTGTTTCAAACTGCTGCCTACAAGAACAACTGACTGACTGCAATGAAAAATGTCCTTAATAAAGAGAGGACCGGGATCCAAGCGTTTACATAGACAGACGAATGACTAAAGAAAGTGGATTCCCTGCACTCCCAGGGCAAAACAAAACAAAGCAGAAAAAGAGAAGGTAAGCTGGTACACAGCAAGACTCCCACTGCATAGCTGTCGAATCTGTTTCAGATTTTACAAAGCTCCCGGCTCCTTTTCGCCTAGCATATGCTGCCTTTTCCAAAGATTTCTGCAGCCAAAGGCTATGTATAATCTCTGTAAACAGTGGCAGGCCGGAGCTCAGCAACCCCCAGTCGTACAAAATCCCGTCACTAGTAAAACCTGGAATGTTTCCAGCTTTTAGAATCGAAGTCTCTTCTTTCAGTTTTCTCTTTCATTAAAAAATTTTCTTTTGGGGGATTGGCTGGTTGTTGGGTTAATTCACGGGCCAGTCCGAGAGGGTTGAGCTCTAAAGTGTTTCCAGGATGATGTGCAACATCACACCAGGTGTGGGTCGTCAGCCGGGCTGACAGTGAAGCGCGATGAAGTCACTGAATTTACCCCGACAGGCGACCTTGGTTTGACTGATAAATCCTCTTTCCTTTTCGATTCTTTGCTTTTTGGCCCTAAAAGAGACAAAAAACAACATCAGCATCACGATTGTGCTGGTATTAAAACCAGAACCAGGCATATGTATGGAAGCCCAAAGGGACAGGATGTTCCCAGGCAATAAGCATGTGTTTGACTGTAAGGGAAAGTTAAAGGAAAGTCTTTTTATTGGAATTAAACCAAAACATTAACCCGGTTCACAATCACAACTGAAACAATTACGTTTTCTGATCATTTGTTAGCTGTATTGCACAACAAATCAGAATCCACTAAGAAGTCAAAGAAGTTTGCAAACTGTCAAACTTGGAGGACTAGAACGACCTAATTCTGCCATAAAAAGCAATGAAAATATATAAAAGGATCAGTGTGTCATAGCACTGAGCATGTTATATCAGCATGATGGTTAATAGGCAGGCCCGGCCCTTCCAACAGGACCACTCCCTCCATCATCACAACTAATAAGATCATCATTATCATCATCATCTAACAGGATACAAGCGATATGAAGCATGTCTGACAAAGCGATGTTTCAAGCTACCACTTCGTTTATTCTCAAGAGGTGGTGCTGGTCGTCTACCAATCAAGGATCAATCCCTGGCTCCTCTTGTGCCATGTGTCAAAGCATCCTTGGACAAGACACTGAACCCTGAGTTGCCCCCAGTGCACTGATGTGAGTGTGTGAATGTATAAGGTATAAACAGGCTGTTTGAATGAGACTTGCTTTGAGTGCTCAAACTTGAGTAGAAGGTGCCCGAAGTACCAATCCATTTACCACCAAGTTCTGTCTTTGTCGTTTTGTGCACCAACGTTGAGAATCTGATATTATCAATATCATTCAGTACATCAGGGCGAGCTTTACCTGCTTGAAGGTTATGCTGAGAAAAAGTACCTGTAAAATTGAAAACCAGTGTGACCTTGAGGAGAAGAAAGATGATCCATCTGTGACTGGGACACATGTTTACTCACTTATAAGATGCACAAGAAAAAAAACAGTACCAAGCACAGGGGAGAAAATCAGCTGATAATCTATATCTTAATAGATATAGATTATCAGTCAACAACCACACTGAGGCAACACACTCTTAGTTTAAAATAACTCAAAAGTAATACGGACCTCTTTCAAAACTTTGAAGTCTTGAAAGGCTTGAAAGATCATTAAGGAATCTAATTTTGCCTTTTCTGTATGTGACATAGCTCGAAAGGAAACTCTGAGCCCCAACTTTCATTAGTCTGTGAAAAAGGGTGTTGAGTGCATGAGATGGAGAGTGGAAAGTAGCGAGAGCAGCTGAAAATGTGCAGAGAAACATGACTCGGGCTTGCATTGTTGAGCGCGGGATTAACATCCCTGCTCAGTTCAACATGTCACAGCATCCTGGGACATAATTATAGGAGATTAACTCTGGCTCCATATTTGCAGAGGAGAGGGCTGAGCTGAGGTTTTCCATTTTAGCTGGGAATGTGCTAGTGGCTGTCACATTTTGTTACATCATTAGGCAGCTCAAGGAGGAGACTGAATCCCTGTGTAAGAAGCAGCAGACATTGACGCACATAGAGTCCAACAAGCCAGCAGTTATGGTAACAGCTGTGTGGTGCAGCGCTGCACTGAAAGCTAACATCAGCATCAGTAATTATTAGTTTTGTATTTTCTCTTTAGCTTTCATTTTATGTCGTTTAGAGTTTTTGTTTTTATTTGCCAGAGTGAGTTTGCTTGTTTACGTTTAGTTTTTATTAGTTCCAGCATTAGCTTTAGTCTTTCTTCTTCTTCTTATTATTATTATTGTATTTATACCAAATTCCAGAGGCAAGATTTAGGAAAGTCAGTACAGATAATACAATATAAATATTTTTTGAAAGAAGCTTACCAACGGTCTTGTAAGCATCCAAAATCTTAATAAACACGTCCAAAAAAGCCTCACCAGGCAGTGTGTAATAACAAACTTTGCCAAATTGACAAATGGCAAAATTAAGACTATTTCCTCTATAATTTTTTTTAAATTTAGTTAGTTTTCCAAGTTCACAAAATTGTTTGAGTTAATTGGGTTTTTTCATATCTAGTTCCAGTTTTTATCTTTAGGTTTAGTTAAACCTTTATTTAGCTATAATAACCTTGACCAGCATAAGCAACAAACACCCTACAGAACAGCTGAGGCTTTTTATAATTATTCAGTCATCAATTAATTAATTCATTAATTAAATAAAACACATTTAAACTAACATTCAAAAAACTATTACTTCTTCCAGTGTTCCAGTACACTTTCCTAGGATACGTGGTCATAATAGACCTGGGTGTGTTTGGGAGGTGATTGATTCACCTCTGAAGAAACTGACAAGCTCATATTATAAGTTGGCTCTGTGTTGAACATATTTTATGTTTTTTACTGATTGGCTAGATGCTGCCAGCCAGCCAGATCAGAAAGCACTGCTTAGTGCTGCTGACACTAAGGACAACAGCAGTTGCAAACTGCAGTGCAACCAAAATTATTGTCAGTATGTGCAGTCCATTCAAAATCTGCTTTTATATCTTTGAGCAACAATAGCATACACGTTTTGTTAAATTATGTGGGAAAACTTAATGTAAGGAAAACTTTGTCATTTTAGCATTTGGGATCAGTGGCTGGTCAAAACAAGCTATAGCATAAAATTATTATTTT